CACGGGGCTTGAATACGTTAAGGGATTATGCTGTACACGATTAGTACGGTACAAAGTTAAAAGTGTTAAGATGCATGTTTTTTCTACTATACTTAATCGTATTTATTACGCATTATTTTTAGATTTAAAATAAAAAAACACAAAAATCTCGCGACAGTGATCACTAATAAAATTTAACACCCTATTCCAAGACACGTAAAAGCAAAAAGGCAACAAAAAGAAAAGAATATTCAAGAGATAATATATCTTTTTATGACACATTTACACACAGCAGTCGGTTGCACACCCAGGAATTCCTATTTGTCAGCTCTGTTAGATACTTATTCGCCCGTGTCACGTGATAAGCGGAATAAAGGACCCAGTAAAAGGTCATAGTGTGAAAAAAGTGTCAGACACATCAAGCGAGGTTGCAATTTATCATTCGTACCCGGAGGCAAGACTTCAAAGAGCTTCGCCTCAAAAGAAGCTCAAACAGGCCCTTCCTGACTTTAATCTTACTGTTTAGATAAAACTTTCTTTTGAAAACCTTTGAAACTGTAAAATCTTGAATAAGGAGCTAATTGTTGATTCACTTTATATTAACATATATTATATTACAGAGGAACTGTTGTATTAAACTAACAATAACTTATAATAAGCTACGTGTTTAAATGAATAATTTAATGTTATTTATCCCTTCTTTAAAGATGTACTGATTTTATTTTGGGGTATTAAAATGCTTTACTAACTTCTTTGATTGGCTCTTAATGTGACTAAGGTAGAGGTCTAATTTTCTTATTGGTCTGTTATTTTCGTATTAAAAAATACCTGTGCATTTCTGGTTTTGGAAACGTTGATAATAATATAGAAAGTCTATTAGGTTTTCGAATCGAAACACCATCAGCTATTTTCAACCAATTAAGGACTGAAAGTTATAGAAGGCGTATACCAAACAAACAATGGACCATTGATGGGATTACAGGAACAAAGGAGTCATTTATATGCAGGCGCGTACACAATTATGGTTCCGAGGTCCCACACGAGTAAACAGGGCAGGGAAAATCAGGGGACTTCATGTAGAGAATGGGTATACCTGATGTGATTACGAAATTGCGAGGGGCAGAATCCCTCAGCCTACAACCCTCGTTTATGCAATGGAAAAATGTTTTGATGCCTATCGACTATTTATTGAAAGTGACATTTCTATTTTTTATGGGAACTTTATTTTGGGGAAAAAAATTGAGTCTTAGCCAATATTGGCCAAAAGAAAATTATATTTTGAAATATAAATTTGTGTTTTGCGTAGAGTAAAATACCGAGAAATAGCTTTTATTAAACAAATGTTTACAACGCAAATTTTGAAGATCAATCATTGTGTTTACACGCAAAAGATGGGAGGTGCAATTTTTGAAAACAAAATTATAGATTTCAAAAAGTGGTTCATTAAATTATCGGTTATCGAAATAGTAACAGCTTGATCACAAAACAATATTCTCACGTTACACTGAAATCAAATCAATTGCGTAAATTAAATCGTTTGCAATTTATTGTATGGTGCTGCAGCAGGTGACTTTTGTCCATTTTTCAGAACAATTGAAGTTACTCTTGATGGTGAGACTTACCACGTGTTTTATATTCTAAATTAGTTAGCAAAGCCATTGTAAGTTGGCCAAGAAACTCATTAAGGTAATCCTTACAGGCAAAATCGGTCCGGGCTACGCTTCTCCTTTGGAGGCATTCAGGAACGGTCCAAGAGAGCAACTTTTGTACGTGGTCTGCGTACAGCCAGACCAGACTAAACAAGATTATCTGGCCACTGTCGACGTCGATCCTAAGTCCCCTACTTATTCTCAGGTCTGTACGTTTGCTCAGAGTATAAGATTGTAGAGCTCTGTATTATATCTCGTTTCTTGTGAATTTGTTTTAGGAATAGGATCAAAAATATATATTTTAGTAGCAGTAGAGCTCTTGTGAAAGAGCTCGTCCAGAGAAGTACTACCACCTTACCTATTTCTACCGCCAAGCAGTAATGGTCACGTTACTGTATTCCGGTTGTGAAGGGTAAGGGTGCTGCTGAAATTACAGGCACATGAGACTTGTCAACTTATGTCTCTGGGTGACGGACGCAGTGGCAATGCCCCTCAGATCTTTGCGATTTAAAGCTCTGCGTAACACTGCAACTGTTATGGGCAGGCGTGTGACTTACTACCAGGCGCACAACTTGTTCGTCCCGTCACTTCTGCCGTGGCAGGCGTATATTCATTAACTTAAGACACATGAGTTACGGGTAACAACTCTGAATCGTATTTTTTTTACCTACTGCACCCATCCATCAAACATTTATTTGAATATTGTTCACCAGTTCCTTGAAATTGGCTGTTACACAACTCATGTAACTTTGATTTTGCCATAGTCAATTATGGCTAAATACTGTATGTTAAGTTACAATATATGAGCGCGACAAGTTTCACACACAACGAGCAAAATGTATCTCAGTTAACTAAAGTTACATGAGTTAGCCGTGACTGAGTTTGTAAGAAGATTTGGAAGACCTCCATCTCACTTGATGAAAAATAACGATGAGGTCGTCGATGAAGCTTAAACACCCCGAAAAGACTCAAGTTACACCGTTCAAGGAATAAGTCTGCAAGCAAAGAATTCTCCTTCATAGCTGTTTGCCATAAAAATATGGAAGCGTAACGCTTCGTTTCGCTAACGCTTCGCTAACTATATAGTTCTCTGATGACGGAAAGGGGAAGGCAGAATTAAATTATGCCATTCCGTCAGATTCTCTTCGTGATATATTCTGTAGAACACCGATAAGAAGGCAACTTTACGGCGGTGGTCAAGGCTCTGCAGTTTGTCATCTACTAAACTGAGCCAACCACAAGTCTCTTCACAGTCACATTTTTCAACTAAATCCAAGGTGGCCAGTTGGTATTTAACAGAACCATCTCACAGGTGGCAGCAGTATTCAATACACGACCGAACTTTCTCGAGGCAGCCTCTTGGGAAAACGTATGAAGTTAGTGACAATCTATGACAACCCTGTACATTAGCTAATCTGGGGTCAGAACTTGAATTTAGTAGGTTCCTGTGTACGCACAGGTTATAGTGCCTTTGTCGTAAATCTTAAGGATCGGGAGGGAGGGCCACTATAATCAAAAGTAATGTAGAAAGATATGGGGCTATCCTGGTGTGTGTTGTCCCTATTTACTGACCCAAGACTACAGGCTTGTCAATAAAACCAGTCTACGACGGGCGTCCGGGCCAAGCCCTCCTCCAGTGACGCCTTCACGGGCGTCACTGGCACACCCAAACACTGGATATGGACTGGCCGGGGTTTGTGGTAGCTGCAGAGCCGAACATGTCTGCCTCGGTGGTGTGTAGCTGGGGCGTCTGTCTTGAGCATCATACCTAAGGCGAGGTGAGTTACCCGTATAGTTGAAAGCTATGTCCTGACCATTGTCACAAGACCAGTATTCGACCGACTTATTCGACATTAGCCCGGAGAGCTAGTAGAGGATGTGCTATTTCTCCGGTCCGTCCAGCCGCGTAGGATCTCCGAAAAAAATCCGCCACCAAGTGAAAATTTGGTAGTGGACTTTAGAGTCAACAGTTTAGCGGTGGCAACGGTTAGTTGTGCCATGCACAACGGGACGTGAGCGTGCCAACAGCTCTGGTACCTATCTGGAAAATAAGGAGGGTACTGTACGTGCACCCGGGGCAGCTCACCCAAGGCACTAGCCTCTTGAGAACCGGATGAAGTCAGTAATAACGATCTGTAACAACCCTGTACACGGATTGATCTGGGGTCAGGACCTGAACTTTTAAGGTCCCCGGTCATGCACAGGTTGTAGTGTCTTTCCTGCATAACCAAAAGATTGGGAGGGTCATTATAATCAAAATACATGTTGAAGATACGGGGCTGTCGCGGTGTGAAGTAACGCCTGGAAAGGATGACAAGCTGCGTCACTGCATCTATGCAAAAAGCAGACCATTTTGCGTTAAACGTGTTGAACGTAAGTCCTGTATCTTAAGATACAGAACTTCGATTTACTTAATTTGTATGGGGAGCTTGCTACGCCAAACTCTGTTATCAGTAATAAATTTAAAAAATGATACTTTTCAGGGATTTGAAATATTCCCCTTACCATTTTTTATTATTAAATAATAATTTTATTAAATAATAATTAAAAAGCAAAATCCTACATAACCAAGTTTAATATTATTGATAAACTAAAGAAGTAATCACATGTAAGTTCTTTGAGGAGTCAAACCTTGAATCTAAATCATCATCATCAGCCTATCGCAGTCTACTGCTGGACATAGGCCTCTCCCTATTTGCCCGGTTCTCAGCTTGTCATATTCATCTGCTGCTAGCAGCCTTTCGCAGATCGTTACCTCATCAGCCCAGTGGGCGTCCAACACTATGTGAATCTAATTAGCTATCAACAAATAATATAACCTACACAATTTTCAACAAAGTATATACTCAGTCCAAAAGAATATACTAATATATTTATAAATGGATTCTTTTATATTAGTCCTATACACGAACGATGTCTCTGCAAGGCAATAACGCAACCCTAATCCCAAAGGATTTCTGGATTGAGTAGGAAAGTATTATTGTGTACTTTGCTTGCAGTAGGAAAGGAAGTAAATTAACAAGCGGAATGTAATATAGTACCCGGGGATTTGTTACGTGGATTACGAGCATTCGCAAGGATGAATTGGCCTGATAATAGTTTTAAATTTCTAGTGACGGTTTTCATTATATTAGAATTGGATACCAATTCTTACTACATTCTGAGAAATTTGATTGTCTTTGTGGTAGATGCTTTGGCCTTTCCACTGACTAATATGAGTTGGTAGGAGTTCAAACGAGTAACGATACATGTTTCTAATGAAACTATAACATAGTTATAATAAGAGCAAGTAAAGCATCTCCCGCTGTTCGGCGTGTAAATGCCTACACTAAGCTCGGAACGTAGGATTGTTACATTATTAATTTAGTTGCCTACAGGTTCAGATTTTGTGAACATAATTTGAAAAAATTAGAGTCTTCATCACGGTATCTTCATGCTATATTGAAATAACAATTGTTAAATGTAGTCGGTATCTGTATTGAGGTGTATGATTATGTAGTAGAAATGAAATGCTGAACAATTCTCAGCTTAAGGCACTCTTGCTCGAACTACCACAAACACCACAATGAACACCGAGCGGCCGCTTCATTCTATAATAAATTAATGGCGCGTGTGACGACCCGTACTATGCAACCCGAGTCCATTGCGAGATTATGCGAATAGCCGGCTTTATACAGACACTTTATCGCGTGTGATACAGCAATTGTGCGTGTAAACACGTTGGATGGAAAAGAGCATAACCACGCGATTGTGCTCATCAATCGCGCGTGCAATCGCGCACTCCATCACGCGTCAGTTTCACGCGTCAGTTCTATCCTGCGATATTAGACTTTACACAGATGCTCTTTACGTTGTAACACAAACTAATATGAGCGATCGCGCGCGAAAGAATGTTAGCTTAAAAAATTTCAGGCAGGCAATCGCGCACAATTGCGAGTGCAGACATGGTGCACACTTTCCTGCGCGCAATCTTGTACGCTCCTGATCACGCACAATTGAGTGACTGTGTAAAGGGGGCTAATGTGTGCGTTCGTACACGGGACGCCCTGCTACGTTTGTATGGAGTTAACATACCTGTTTCATTATACTATGGTAATCACGATTTAAATGGAACTGATATTAATATTATTGACATTCTTCAGGTCATCCACCGTACTTACACGGGCAGTGTAGGCGATGAGCTCCATCACAGTGGATGGAACGTCTGCTCCAGCTGTCATAATGACCCGAACTTAAAGAGGAATTTATTGATACTACCCGCTTTAGCGTCCAGCAATGTTTTCGTTATGGATGTGGGCACTGATCCAAGGAAACCGAAGTTGCATAAGGTACGAATCAATTATCCCTATAATACGAATGTAGGTAACCTAAAATGTTTATAATATCGAGATTTATTTAGGATATAATATATAACTTGCCTCTGTCATTATAAATCATAATTATCATAAGCGTTAACGGGCAAAGTCAATGATAATAAAGTATAACTACACACAATAGATTACTAACACGATTGTGAAAGATATTATGTAAATAAATAAGAATATATAACTGAAGAAAGAGAATAAGATTGCCAGCATCGTAGTAATTGGAGAGCTGGGGGCCTACTATGAGCTTATAAGCCAGCCAGCCAAGTTCACTGCAATTCACTTGACGTGGTAAAACTGAATTGCTTAAATTCGTATCATGACCTGCACAAAGTTGAACGGGAATGGCATGACAGTTTTACTTTTAAACGTTAATTATTGTCTCTGGCTTGGCTTATATCGGCTTGTAATTTGATAACATAATTTGAACGTAATATCTTGCATTCGTACATTTCCATTGATTGCATTAAAGTAAAATTTGGCACTATTCAAAAGTTATTTTACGATTTTCGCGAAGTCAATAAAATTATTAAAATTCTATTTAAAAATTGCAATTACATTCAAGCCAATAATTTGTCAACAATACTTTAAAGATCTTGAAGAAGATTTTGAAAATTTTCGTATTTATTTATCCTATAAAGATAACAAATAATTATGAAACTGAAAATATAATAAAACTTAAAAGAAATTTCTTAAAAATGTAAGAAAATCTAAAAAAAGTTAGTCACGGAGTAACTTTTTTTGAATTGCTTATTTTGACAGATGAGGCCGCCACTTGCATGGCAAATAGCACGTCATGATACGATTTCACTATGAAAAAAAAAGGTGAACGGATATCGAATATGGAACGTAAACTGCATGGACAGTGAATTGTTTTTGTGTGGTCATAGTACGAATTTGACAGGCAATCCAACTTATAGGCTTAAATAGGATTGCTCTAAGAGCTTAGTAGACTCCCTGTATCATTTACGTAGCCTACATGAAAATCAGACGTGTTTGTGTGTACGTGATAACAACACTATCTTTAAAAAAATCAACAAATATCTTTTTCATACTCACACATAACACCGATATTATATTTGCCAATTGTGTAAGTTAGATTGCATCAATGTTTTACCAATAAGTAATTTGAACAATGTTTAAAGATTTAGCAGAGAAACTCACAAAGTATTTTATCGCAAACAGCCTTGTTAAAAGTTACGATATTTTTCTAAAGGAGCATTTGCGTAGGATCGATAAAATGTAGTTCCGACTGCTTATGAACTCAGACTGTGAGACGGAGACTTGCAGCCGTTAAGATATATTTAAGGTGGTCACTAAAAAGTTGGTTATTCTTTTCAGAACGTTTGTTTAGGCTATGCAAGCGGCGTTAGTCCCAAATGTACCCTTCTATCGACATTTCATTAGACCTGGGGCCCTGCTACCTGACCTATTGGACTACTCTCGAAGTCCGTCAACGGAAAGACATCCCCATTTGAAATGTCAAATCGCATTGTGATACATTTGTAGTTCTAGTCCCAATCGAAACTAGTAATACCAGAGCACAAATAGGAACTTGTGAATTCTTGTTTGGAACGAATCCGTAAAAATGAATTCTTATGTCAACGAGTTTTTTAAGTCCTCCCTTTTCATGTTCCCGGAATTTTACATACCAATTTGTTATTGACTTCTGGAAATCAATCATAAATCAAAACATTAATACAGTTGAATAGAACATTTTTTAATTTGATTTCAATATTAAAATTTCAAAGATTTTTTCCAAGGCTGTTCTAAAAGAAATGTGCAGGTAGAAGAGAGTAAACGAAATGTAAATTTGATGAGCAAATAGAGGGGTAAACGTCCAAAAGTGCTTTTAAAGGAAATTCTTTGCTAAGATATTGCTGCTTCAATAACTGTATTTGAAGACTAAGTAGTATTATACTTAATTACGTAACAGATTAGATTGAGGTGAAGCAGAAAGAAATAGGGGTTCTCTATATTTTAATTTAATCCTTTTTTTAAAACAATATTGTATGGAACAAATTAATCCCGATCGTCATTTTAGGAAATTAGTACTCTTATTTCAATATCTGAAAGGACGGAGAATATCGATGAAACTATAAGACTTAATTTTTACTAATTTGAAATTAAAATCAATGTTTTATTTCACAACCGTCAGATAGAGATAATCCTCAATATTGAAAAATATTATAAGGCACAAAATGAAAATAATATAATTAAATTCTCTCTGTATCACAAGTGTTGTTTATCCTTCTCAAACGAAAATGGGCAGTGGTTTAAAACCCAATCAACCCACCCGGATATCAACTGGGTTTTTATCCATTTCTGCCCAAAATCGAAAGCAGAAACGGTGAATACGAAATTCGATATAATTCCATACTTAATACAAATTTCGACGTATAAAAAAATTTATAACATAGGCATTTCTACACAATACCCGCCTCGCAATCTTGTGGATTCTCACTACTAAGGATGCAAATTACAATTCAATTTTTATGAAGATTAAAGTGCGTACGACCTAATTATTTTTTGAATCGATTTCTTACAATGCAATTTTCACGCGCATCGTTTCAATAGAAAGGCAAATAGAAAATCGTGTAGATCAGAAAGCAATAAAGATTTTGTAATAAAATTATAACGCATAGAATTTTTGTTTGATATCAATCGCGTTTATTTGTTTCTTCAAACAAACCAACGTTTTGGGCCCTTAACAGGTAACGTTGGTTCGTTTGAACCAATATTATATATATATAGATTAAATAAATATATATATATATATATATATTCGAAAAATGGTTTAATTTCTTGTGTCTCAACAATAACAGTAACAATCTCCTAATCGATTTACCACAAATATACTTGTAAATAGTTTTTGCCGTCGATTTCGGAAGTTAATGGGTTTCAACCCGATTTACACCCGGCGTGATCAAAACACCAGATTAAAACTCGGGCGCTTGCCCGTCTCTGTGTAAATTATCAATAAAAATAAAATAACAAAACACTGCTTTTAAACCTCCACTTAAATACCCGATCCACTTTTTTAATACAACAGTGTTGCCATTTTGAATAATAACCCTAACATTAAGATTTTAGAACTCATTTATTAGAATTTAATTCATTTATTACTACGCCATAACACAAGAATATACAGAAAAAAAAGAAAAATGTCGAAGCAAAAGTAAAACAAAAAAATTGAATAATTTTCGTATGGACCTTTGCGTGTTTGGGTTTATTAAAGACAAATTTTAAAAAGGAATGCACGAAAATCGAAAGATTTTCGCCAGAGCCAGAGAAAGCTTTTTCATATATTCTTCGATAAAATAATGAAAATTGGGTATTATAAAGAACCATTTTAACCTCTATTCGAGGTCTAATCTGATACAAAATGACCTGTAGATTTAAGTATACTAACGGATAGTTTACATAACAATGAAATTTAAGTAAACTGTCCGATGTTTGTCTCAAAGACATTCCAGCTTTATTTAATTTAGATAAAAAGTAGATAATGTTCGGTGTACTAAGTTAAGCTAAATATTTATGTGACTTTTGAGTAATTGATGTGTTGTTTTGGATTATTTACTGTGAACTAAAACAGTCGCTGATTAACTTCTTTGACTAGATTTTATTTTTGAAGAATTATCTAGAAATTTGGTCTGACTGGTTATACCTTATGAACATTATTATCTCGACGGTTTCTCTGTTAGATTCGTTTTTCTTATATCTATACCAAAGAGCCGTAACTAGGGGAAAAAATGCCAGATTTCTGATCTCAAATTAGGAAATTTACTGTACTATGAATACCAGAAAGACGATAACTCTGAGGGCAATACCTAGAAAGCCCAGACCAGAACCAGTTTAGAAATGTTCGTTTCCTAAATTGGCCGAAATCGGGAATCGAACCCGGAACCTCCTCATCAAGCGCCCATAGTAGATACTAACCGCTGTGCCACCGAATAGTATAAGCACACCCCGTAATATAAACCCGACTACGCGCCGCAGACTGAGCCCGACCCCACTGTAGGTGGGTTACAGGCCTCGTTGTTTATAATGTTCAAATATTGTCAAGATTTTTACGCTCAATTTTCTGTAAAATTAATTGTAACACTTTACACTGATGTTAACCAGTTCATGGTCAGTACTTGAACAGTACCACATGCAAAATGTCTCTATTTTTTTTGTACCGTAGTGCTTATATTGATTCAATATAAAATGTTCCATGTATATGTTGGTTTTTTGGGATCCATATAGCGAAACGGGATACCCCGTACTATCATACTCCTCATGGAAGAATGACATAAGTGGAGTTACGTCAAACATGTTTATCCCCTCCAATTCTTATAACACTGTCTACATTATTAGGCGATAGAATTACAAGAATTGGAGAGGATGTGAGTTATGTTTTTCTGTAGCTAATAGAGCAATAAAAGTTTTTGACGTAACTCCACTTATGCCATTCTTGCATGCGATTCTGATATTTAATTTTACAGTAAACACCGATACTGTCCATGGTTAAGACGTGCATAAAGAGAGTATAAATATTTATAATGATAACAAAAAATCTCGAGAAAGAATATAATCGTGTTGAAATTACTTTTAAATATTTATAGAACTAAGGGAATGAAAAAGAAAATCAACCTATATTCACAATACATTTAGTTTGCACACTGAATTTTCTCACGAGAGTTTTGAAATTTAAACTTTATACCGAAATTTTGACTCAAAATCGGGAATTATTCTCCTGAACATTCAATAGTTGTTAAGCGAATTCTCGAACTAGTTCGAACTCATCTGGAATCTGTCGCCAAACTTCAAACATCCCCGCTCATAGTTAACTCTTCGCCAACTCGTTATACCGCCAGTTAAAACCTCTAACCTTTGATTTTTCTTATGTTTTTCTATTTTGAACAGATTTCTGAAGAGGAATATATTTACCGATAGTGCTTTTAGTGTTTTAGTGGTTTCCATGCATCTTAATAAGCATAAAAGAGCTCGAATTCATTACTGGTAAATACAATAAGATTTTGAAATAATTAGATTTACATTGACGATTTACATGATTTGTTTATTTATTTTTTTACATCATTACTAATATGTACTTGGTACTTGGTGACACGGTCTAGGTGTAATATGTAATAGCATTAAATCTGTACCATAAAAAATGAATACGTGCTGGTATATCTTTGAAAATACAATCTATCTACAACAACACTTCGAAACTTTGATGACCAAAGTTAAATATTCGACAGCCCTCTTACTAATTTGATACAGCTAAAACTTCTACAATCTAATCTCTCACGCTGAGAAACTTACCGTAGTTAACGGAAAAATACCCAGGTCAAAACTGCCAGTTGGCTCCCTTATCGAGTGATCATGGCTCCGAAAATCTCATTACCAGGTAATCGACGGCTCGGAGATGAGGTCATTCAACTGCAGTTTCCCGCACACCGCGCACTGCCTCGCTTCGGGTGAAATCATGATATCCACTATGGGCGATAAGGAAGAAAACGGAAAGGGGGATTTTGTGCTCATCGATTCGAAGAGCTTGAAAGTGACAGGTGAGTGTGGACGTAAGGGGATGTTACTCAGTTTTAGGCGGATGTTTGTGTCATCGCATTTTGATAAGCATACAAATCTATAGGTGTGGAAGAGTTCTCAAGAAAATATTAAACTGAAATTGTCGTGGTCATGCTGTGTTGAGTGAGTTATTTTCCAATGAAAAACCATTTTTTTTCCCTTAATTAGTAGGCAAAAAAGCTTGTTCTTGTACTTGAAAGGGACGCTTAAAACGATGAAATGAATGAACACTCAAAATTATAGAAAATTTAAAATGGAATTCAGCCTATAGAGAATCGCAACATCATTTTAAACAGTTTTGTTTGTTTACAAAGGAAATTCTGAAACCCATTGATTTTAATAAATTTAATTGTTAGAAAAAACCAAAACTGGAAAAAAATGTATTTAAAAAAACCGCCCTCGACTCAACAGTTTGTGGAATTACATCTATTTACCAAGTTTCATTGAAACCGGTCATCGGAAAGTGGATCCAATAAACCGAATTTAATTCCTAATTTACCACTTTTAGAGGTGGAATATTTACTTCAAATTTGAATTAAATCACTACTAAGAGGTATCTTATCTTAGGTATCTTGCAGGAGGTATCCTTTCCAACAAAAACAAGCATCGAAATTGGTTCACAAATATCGGAGTAATCGCGTAACGTACACACACAACAAAATACAGTCGAATTGAGAACTTCCACTTTTTTTAAGTTAAAAAGTCATTTATACGCATTGACGTAGAATTATATGGACGTCGGGTCCGCGCTAAAAAGTGTCCGCACTTGTAAGGCGCTAAAATCGTATACAGAGCGCCAAACTCCGCTTTAGTCTTCATTTGTTCTACTGACAGCGCGATACTGCGATGACATTACAATTTAAATTTCGAATAGGTTGACTTGGGACATTTTTTTCGTGGTTTTTGTATTAGATCCGTCGTCCATTTATTTGTAAGTCAATGTTTATACGTCAGGTTTGACACTGGGCAACGTTTCTATGCTCTTATGATATGAATTGTTGTTTAAGGAACATGGACGAAAGGAAAACTTGCACAGTTTGGATATGATTTCTGGTATCAGCCATATCATGATGTAATGGTTGCTTCTGAGTGGGGCACTCCGAAATTCTTTAAGAAGTAAGTTTCACCTACAATTGCATTATCAATGTATGTACTTAAATAAATTTCTTTCTTTTTACTATGAAGATTATTATATAAAAAACACGAAAAAACGTAAGATTCAAGTACCTGTTGTTTGTGGTACCTTCCTTGTTTTCGATTTCCATAACACAAGTGCTATAATTACTTTGGGATTGGAGCAACGTGTGTAATGTTATCTAGTTATTATTTATTTATTTTATTATTTAATTTTATAATTAGGAAGACGCACAATGAGTTGTTCATACAACTCATTGTGCGTCAACTCAATATTCATATATTGATAGAATATTTAGAGCTGTAAATTTTTTGTAACTGCATAATCTTCGTTGAACAACTTCCAATAGTCATGGTATCCTGGAGGATTTATTATATTACAGTGTATTTTTCAAAAAATAATGTATACTGACAAATTAAAGTTACCAAGAAACCCCTACTCTAGTAAGAAAACAAACGAAGAAGGTACACGTGCAATAATACTAGGAAAAAAAAAATAAGTCAGATAATATATAATAATATATGTATTTCGCTTTGTCATTGCAATTATATGTTGTTTCTCTATTATTTTAAACTTGTATGAATTATTTGGAATACGTTAATGTTTCATGAAAGCCTTAACAATAAAAAACATATATCAAAGGTGATAGATAGGCCTAGAATGAGACGCCCTAACGGCATTCGTATAAAAAAAAACTAATAACTGTTCTAGACGCCCGACTACAACGATTCTGATTACTGTTTACGGTACGTGTGCGACAAAAACAAATTGGCTTTACCTTTACAAAACACGTGAACTACCCTAAAACATGTACGCTAAGTAACTTGAACACTATTTAGTACCCGTAAGTACTATACTATTTTAAGTTAATTATTAACTTGTTCCCTGCAGTGGTTTTCAACCCGACGATATCCCTAATTCTGAGCGTTATGGGACCAGTATCAACTTTTACAAATGGTCGACACGTGAGTTGCAACAAGTCATTGATCTCGGTCCGGAGGGCTGTGCGCCCCTTGAGATCAGATTCCTCCACGACCCTAAAGCCTCACAAGGATTTGTCGGCTGTGCGGTCGAGGCCAACATCTTCAGGTAGATTTGTAAGGCTTACTATAGGTTTATTGTCTTGCTATGTAGAAGTCGGTTTCTGAGTATTGGTACTTTTAGAATTGCTGTATTAATCAATGCCGGTTATTACTCAGACTTTATGTTTCAATCAAGACCATAAATTAAACAACATTTAAAGTTTTCAAATCTATGGTGCAAAGAATTGCTTTGAGAGAATTAATTATTTGTTCATTGATTAATTTCAAAATGTAGTGTTCGAAAATGCACCTGAATAATAACGTTGTGAAAATACATTAATGTTATTCGATGTATTAGTAAAATTTTAATACAAGACAATAAAACATATTCAGGGACTTTTCAAACATTTTCGCAGGTTCTATAAAACAGCTGCTGGTACGTGGAAAGTCGATAAAGTCATCGACATACCATCGAAAAAAGTTTCTAAAGACGGTGTAGAAACAGAGCTCAACGGTAAGGTATTCAGATTTTTTTTCCATGTACAATAAATACTTGTACAAAAAAAACATCACTTGTTTGTTAAATAGGTAAAAACTTATGACAATAAAATTAGCATTACCAAAGTTTTCTTTCATATTATCAGTCAATATTACCAACAACGAAAACATTTCGTTAAGAAACTTGAATAAAGGATTCTTGCTTTTTTTTCTATTGCGTCTATACAAAAATAATATTTTATACGCTACATCATTGTCCGAAATTCTATTGAAATTAATGCATAAAATAAATTTCTATTCCATAGCGGTAATTCAATAATTAATTTCGCAAAGATGAGAGCTAATATTCTCGACATAAATTCTATTATCATTTGTTCACATTGTCTCAAATTCTAATTTAGTTCTCAGCGAGCCTTTCATAAATTCTGAGGCTTTATCCTTAGCCAATCCTTTGCATTCCTTCGGAGCGAAGTGACAGTTCCATTATCTTTTTGTTCTAGGTCTAATGTCCGACATCCTGCTATCATTAGACGATAAATATTTATACTTCTCGTGTTGGCTTCATGGGGATGTGAGGCAGTATGACATATCTGATCCCGCTCACCCGAAACTTACTGGACAGGTCCATTTGGGAGGCAAAATACTGGACGATCTCGACCTTGTAGAAGACAGAGAAACTAAGGTAGGTTTCAACAGACAATAGATCGCTAGATAGGTAGATAGACAACTCGTTTATTTGCTGAATCACAGTACATTACAAATAAGCTTATGACATAGGCACAATAGTAATGATAAAGGAAAACCTAGTCTAAGTTTGTGGGTATGGTCTGGAGTGTTTTATTGTACCGGGGTGTCGAGTGGAGTGTTATATTGTGCTGGGGTGTAGAGTGCAGTGTACTGTGTCAGCGAAAAGGATCTGACTCAGCATAATGCCGCAGTTCAGTCAAACTACCACGCTCATGATTCTACCAGATCCTAAGGTGAGTCGGTAAATAGGAAGTAATTCAGAATAGATAATGAACACGGTGTCAGAATATATAGTATGTAGTTATAACATTAACTGTATAGGTGAATAAGCAATTAAATTAGTTATAACACGTGGACAAGGTACTTGGAAAGAAAAGCAAAAGGTGTATATGTGTGAGTAAGGAGTTGTGTGGTTGTATAATTGTTGACGAATGGATGATTTGCTTAGAGGTGAGTGTCTGTGTGTGGGTGTGTAGATTTGCTATTTCGTTACTGTAGAGCTCCTTGTGAAAGAGTTCGTCCAGGGGATATTGTCATTTTATCTATTTCTGTTACCAAGCAGTGATATGAGCAATTACTCCGTTCCGGTTTATAAGGCTAAGGGTGCTGGTAAAATTACAGACACGCTTAAAGCTCTGAGCAGCATTGCAATTGTTGTGAACAGGCGTGTAAGCGACACGCCTGTTCACAACAATTGCCAGGCGCACGACTTTTTCATCCCGTCACTTGGTATATAAAAAAAAGCGAATGGGGTACATATAAGTGTGTGTTGCTATATCTATGTTACATCAATAGTTTGTAAATTTACTACATGGTTGGCGAACATCATAAGTATACTGTGGCATACTAGTTTATATAGAAAGCATTCGCTATTTCTCATTAAATGAATACCTTCTGACTTGACAATTACATTTGCGCTACGTCATTCTTTCCATTTGAGTCGGAGGCTTTTGTTGTTTGTTATACTACTGCTTTGTCGATGAAAATTTCATTTATGTTTAACCGAGTTTAGAGTTTGTTTTCTGTTTTAATTCGATTGTGGGAGTTATCTACTTTTGTTGTTGATTTATTTTTAAGTACGATGACTTAATTTTTAGTTGTTATTTTATTTTTTTTATCTGTGCATAATGTTTGTACCCTTTCAATCAGCAGTGTCATCAATACATAAACTTTAGGTTTTTTACTTCAATTATATGTTCAATTTATTATTTTATATTTTTTTTATAATATCACGTGATGGGACGAACAAGTCATGCGCCTGTCTGTCCATAATAATTGCAGTGCCACTCAGAGCTCTAAATAGCATGCCTGTCCACAACAGTTGCGGAGCATTGCCACTGCGCTTGTCACTCTAAGACATAAGTTGACAAGTCCCTTGTGCCTGTAATTTCACAGCAAATCACCCTTCCAAATTGGAACGCAGTAATGCTCACATTACTGCTTGGCGGCAGAAATAGGTGAGGTACAGTGTATATTTTTTATGTTTATGTACCTTTTGCTAGGATTTTATAGTAATACATAATAGAATAATAATAATTAGTTTATATACAACGATACAAAAAAATATAGTTTATAAGTCATTGATTTTTATTTGTCTCAGGAACAAAGGAAACCAGTAATAATAAAGGGCAAGCGGCTTCAGGGAGGACCCCAAATGTTACAATTGTCTCTTGATGGAAAACGTCTGTACGTGTCTTCTTCCCTTTACTCGCCTTGGGATAAGCAATTCTATCCAAAGATGGCCGAGCAGGTAAGTTTTTTAATTAATTTAATAATTTTATTTATCGTGTCTTGTTTACGATACGACTTTGCGGATTCTTATCATCAATTGCTACGAACTTCCACTGACGAGCAAATACCTTTTTTCTGTGTATGATTTACCTGTAGGTAGTCAAAAATGTAGGTATCTCGTTTGAGTTTTTGTAGGATTATTTTTTGCGGTAATTCTACAGATTGGGATTTTGTATTCAAAGCATAAAGTACTTTAGTATTTCTCGCGCGGGCAGCTCCATGCCCTATTTAAAAAATATAATATACTAACGTTACCATCATTGTATATTCTAGAATGCTTATTATTTGTCAAAACAAACCCCAATTTATTCAATAAAGTTACGGAAGTAAGACGTAGGAATAGAAGAGATAATGATGTATCTATGTTGCCACATAAAACCGCATTAATGTCAAAAAGTGTGCTCTGTATGCTGCCAAGATATGATATATAATAGAGTCCCGAAATCCGGCCGAGAATTACATGCAGATCTTTTTAAGAAAAAATGTAAGCAGTATTTGAATAATATTTTTATAATGTAAATGATTGTATGAATAAGAGATGGATTTAGGGCTAATTAGAAATAGTGTCAAGTCACAGACATATATCTAGATAGACGCCTCAAGTACAGTAATTCGTATGAAAACACAGCATGCCATATTTTTTGTACCCACTATGACGTCACAAGAATTATTTAGTGATGAAAACCTCCTTCCGCTCGCTTTAAATCGATTAATTGAACGAAATACGCGTAAACTTGAATGAGTAACAGATTCCCCATGAAGATTGACAGATTGCACCTAACCTCAAATGACGTACACAACTCTGGGTCAGATAACTCTCACGTATTAACGGACACAAACACATCAGACGAGTCGTTCTCCACACCCATGCAACTGTCAAGGAGTGTAGATGACTATAACGGACTATAATTCAATTCAAGAAACGAAAGAAACTATAAGCCAACTTACATCAGAATTAGCAAGTACACAACGCGAATTAGAAAATACAATAATTGAAAACAATGGCCTCCGGAGGCAAATAAATAATTTCACGTTGGAGATTAACACCTTGAAAACACTTTCTCAGTCATCTCAAAAAAGAGAACTTCATGACACAACTAAAAAGCGAAGACAGTCAATACAGTGTATAGAACTACACCTCATTTATACACCAACTAAATTATCATTAACATATATATATATTAGGATATACAGGGTTACAGGAAAAGTCGTGCTAGATCCGTTAAGGGCGTGGAGTACTCATCATTTCTGACTTATTTTACTATTAAACAGCCTACCCTAAACTTAACCCTTTTCGAGATATTTGACTTTTATTTTTTTTATTCAAAATTGCCGATTTTTAGGCTACTAAATTTAATTTTGTTTATTTTGTGTGTCTTATTAACTAAATTTAATTTTGTTTATTTTGTGTGTCTTATTATTATAATTATTGCATTTTTACATGTGTGATAAGATGCTTTAGGACCTCAATCATTAAAATAGTGAATAAGTTAATTCAATACGCCGTAGTAGAAAAGAGAAAGTTAAGAAATTAAAAAAAAATTAGAAAGTTTATTTTTCTCTAAGGGATATCTAAAAAAAATATTATGGCAGTTGATCGGCAGATAAGTTATAAAATATCTACGTTTCATCAGCTATCTAACAAGGTATAACAATCTAGGGTTTTATTTAAATGCATTGAAAAAACTTAGTTTCATAGGCGATAGTGGAGGAGAAAATTAATACTTAGCCCTAAAAAGTATAACAAAACAAGGTAAGCATGCTAAGTATTTATTAAATCAGGTTTTCACACAACTTTTTGTTATTCTACAGTTCATATTGAACATGGCCGCCTCTGTTTCTAATACATTGTCGCATTCTTCTACGGAGACCAGTCTTCACTACTCCAGTGGTCAACGTTGTCCTCATTTGATTTGCTGCATCCACAATCCTTTCTTTTAACTCTTCCACAGACGAAACTGGATTTGACTCGCTGTAGACAAGACTTTTCATGCGCCCCCACACATGAAAATCCATGGGGGTTAGGTCCGGACTTCTTGCTGGCCATGGCAACGGCCCACCTCGTCCTATCCATTTGTTTGGATAATTTGTGTCCAGCCAGTCTTTGACACTTCTCCTGAAATGGGCAGGGCAGCCATCATGTTGGAACCACATGTCCCTGATCAAGTTGAATGACAGATCATCCAGCAAATCACTCAAGTCTCCTCTCAAAAAATTTTCGTAACTTTCCCCATTTAGATTGTCCGGGACAAAGTAAGGTCCAATCAAATGATTGGAGATAATACCCATCCACACATTCACGCTGAATCTTCGTTGGGAACCCTTCACTCTTTTCTTATTGGGATTCCTAAGTTCTTTTGGGGCCCAGTAATGCGCGTTGTGATAATTAGTTATGCCATCTTTATCAAATTTGGATTCATCTATCCACAAGATATTTCTTAGAAAATCTGGGTCTTCTACGTCAGCATTTAGCATAAATCTGCAGAAGTCCAACCTTCTCGCGGGGTCTCCTTCTTCAATAGTGTGTACCGGCGTGTAATGGTGCGGGTATAGGCCAGCAGTATGCACTGTAAACCACACTCTCCATTGCGAAAGTCCCAGATCACGGGCAACAATAGTAGTCGGATCCGCTCGAAAGCGTTGCACTATCTCATTGTCCTGTTCTTCGTCGTCATTAATTCGTGGTCTGCCCATGTCTGTATTTCGTCTCAAAATAGAGCCAGTTTCTCGAAGTCTCCGATAAACTCTGTCAAAAACAGCCATATCCGGCACTCGACGACCGGGGAATCGAGCTATGTATTCGTTGCGAGCTTGCGCAGACACAGTATCCGTAACAAATAAGCATATCAGCATATTCCTCAGGTGTGTACGACGTCATCTTCAACACTTCCGTAGCACAAGTACAAATCAAAGTCCGGTTAACAAGCACAGTAGTCACAAATCGGAAAAAACAGTCCAGAATCACAGCCAAGTCAAGAAAAAGAGCAAAACGATATCACATCTACTATGTACGAAGCACAAAAGCAGACTGACAAACAAAACAATATCCCGTGATATCTCTACAATATTTTTTCTTTCATTCGCACCTACATAAACCGTCGCTTGTCTCACTCGCACGGTGCGTCTTAACTTAAGGACAATAGGCGCGGGACCGTTAGAACTGCTACCTGGAGCGTCCCAACTACTTTTTTTTCCACGAAATGCAATACAAATCCTAGATTGTTATACCTTGTTAGATAGCTGATGAAACGTAGATATTTTATAACTTATCTGCCGATCAACTGCCATAATATTTTTTTTAGATATCCCTTAGAGAAAAATAAACTTTCTAATTTTTTTTTTAATTTCTTAACTTTCTCTTTTCTTCTACGGCGTATTGAATTAACTTATTCACTATTTTAATGATTGAGGTCCTAAAGCATCTTATCACACATGTAAAAATGCAATATTTATAATAATAAGACACACAAAATAAACAAAATTAAATTTAGTAGCCTAAAAATCGGCAATTTTGAATAAAAAAAAATAAAAGTCAAATATCTCGAAAAGGGTTAAGTTTAGGGTAGGGTGTTTCATAGTAAAATAAGTCAGAAATGATGAGTACTCCACGCCCTTAACGGATCTAACACGAGTTTTCCTGTAACCCTGTATATATTAGTTATCATCAACATGTAAGACCAGAATGCAACCCGAAAATGCGAGTAATGGCTTAATTACTAATTTACAGCGGAAGATTACTGAACTAGAAAGCGATTTAGCTAACGCAAATAAAGAAATCTCAGGTCTTTCCAAAGAAATTGACACCTTAAATAAACTAAAAAAATGAATCGTCGTCACCACTCTCGAAAACCTCAACTGATAGCAGACCATTGCTATCCCGAACACACACAAATGATAAGCTTTGGATCTTTGGTACCCAATCCTGTGTCGGAGTGGCACCAGCTTTAATAAACTCTAGAGAAAAGATACTGCATGAAAAATATAACGCTACAGCTGAGACTAAGCCGTTTGCACAAAGCAAAGCCATATTAAAAAGTTTCTTCTTCTTCTTCTTCTTCTTCTTCTTCTTCTTCTTCTTCTTCTTCTTCTTCTTCTTCTTCTTCTTCTTCTTCTTCTTCTTCTTCTTCTTCTTCTTCTTCTTCTTCTTCTTCTTCTTCTTCTTCTTCTTCTTCTTCTTCTTCTTCTTCGACAGTGGCGCGACAGCCGCGCTTCACGCTTTTTTTAGTTCACTAATTGTGACTGTAAAAGTGGCGTGTGCTTGTAACAAGTGTGGTGCCAATGCTGCGCTCCTATAAGCGTCTACAACAATATATTTACGGTCGCGTTAACAGCAAAGTAGCCGCCCAAAGACCAATACAAAGATTTACATCTATCACACAGAATTCTTAAGATCTGCTGACTCGGTCTGTAGCTTAGATGCTAAAAGCGGTGGCCCCGTTATGGCAACAGACGCTGGTTCTAATTTAGTCAGATCGTAGAAATTTTTCTTGATGTTTACGATCTTTGAGTCAATAATAATAACAATATAATTTCCTTAATCGGAAAATTGACTTTAATTATATTTACTCACCTACTCCGAATGGACAGTGTTTTTGTAACGATTAATGGTTTTATTTATTATTATTAATATAATAATAATAGCCAAAGTCGCTAATCGTTACAAAAACCCTGGCCATTCGGAGTATGTGGGAAAATATTATTAAATGGAATTCTTTAACAAGGGAGGCACTTCAATGAAAGAGGTCAAGGTCAAATGTCGGCGAAATGTCGATGAAATTTTTGTCGAGTTCCTGATTTACCGCCACTCGGTTTATTACATGCTTTTGTAAATTGCGTGAGAGAATTTTTAAACGAATTCTGAAAATATTCAATAGAAAGGTTTCAAACACGTATTATTCTTAAAACCTGAACTTAATTAAATCCAAAATTGAATTTTAAAACAGTACATAAATATTTATA